CATTCTGGACCAGTTGGAGCCTCCGGGTGCTCCTCAAGGGGAGCCCCATGTAGAGAGCATTACAGTAGTCCAGGCGGGAGGTGACGAGGGCATGGGTGACTGTGCGCAAGGCGTCCCGGTCCAGAAAAGGCCGCAACTGGTGGATCAGGCGTACCTGATAAAACGCCCCCCTGGTCACGGCCGACAACTGGTCTTCCAGTGTCAGCCGTGAATCCAGGAGGACACCCAGATTGCGCACCCTATCCGAGGGAGCCAAAATTTCGCCCCCTATAGTCAGCGATGGAGTCAGCTGACTATGCCGCGGCGCCGGCAGCCACAGCCACTCGGTCTTGGAAGGGTTGAGCCTGAGTCTGTTCCTCCCCATCCAGACCCGTACGGCCTCCAGGCACCGGGCCATCACGTCAAGGGCATCATTGGGGTGGCCTGGGGTGGATATGTACAGCTGAGTGTCATCAGCGTACTGATGGAACTCCACCCAAAAGCCACGAATGATCTCACCCAGCGGCTTCACATAAATATTGAACAAAAGGGGAGAGAGGACCGACCCTTGTGGGACCCCACAAGTTAGGGGCCTTGGGGTCGACCTCTGTCCCCCTGCCAATACAGACTGCGTACGGTCGGTGAGGAAGGAGGAGAACCACCGCATAACAGTGCCTCCCACTCCTAACTCACCCAAACGCCGCAGCATGATACTGTGGTCCACGGTATCAAAAGCCGCTGAGAGGTCCAAAAGAACTAGGACAGAGGAATAACCCCTGTCCCGGGCCCTCCAGAGATCATTCACCAACGTGACCAATGCCGTTTCCGTGCTGTATCCCGGCCTGAAGCCCAACTGGTATGGGTCTAGATAGTCTGTTTCCTCCAGGTGCCGAGGGAATTGCTGCGCAACCACACTCTCAACAACCTTCGCCACAAAGCGAAGGTTGGAGACCGGGCGATAGTTAGCCAATACATCTGGGTCCAGGGAGGGCTTCTTAAGGAGGGGCCTCACCACCGCCTCCTTTAAGGCCGCGGGGAAGGCACCCTCCCACAGAGAAGCGTTCACAATTCCCTGGAGCCAGGCTCGTGTACCCTCCCGAGCCGCCAGTACCAGCCAGGAGGGGCACGGATCCAGTACACATGTGGTTGCTTTCAGCCTCCCCAGGATCCTGTCCACGTCCTCGGGAGCCACAGAGTCAAACTCCTCCCATACAACAGTCTCAAGACCTGCTCCCGTCTCCTCCCCCGGGGCCACCCAGTCGGAGTCAAGGCCTTCTCGGATCCGAGCGACTTTGTCATGCAGATATTGCGCAAAGTCCTCGGCCCTCCCCTCCAGGGGATCCCCCCCCCCTCAATTGAAGGAGAGAGCGGGTCACCCTGAAGAGGGCGGCCGGGCGGTTATTTCTATACCCTTCCTTTATTGCTTTTTACAATAACTCAAAGCAGCAAACATATCTGATTCCCCTCTTATTTTATCCAAAACAACCACCCTGCAAGGTGGGCCGGACTGAGAGAGGAACTGGCTCAAAGTCTCCCATCTAAGGCAGGACTGAAATTCACGGTCGTAATCTGAAGCGAAGGGGGGTCCAGTCTGGAGGCCGCCTGGGCATCTCCCGCCTTTCTGCCCCCCCTCCCCTCCTGCCCCCCCACTCACGCTGAGGTCCTTCTTGGTGCCCACCAGGAAGAGCAGGACTCCGGAGGGGTCGTTCTCCTTCAGGGCATCGACCAGCCACTGCCTGGGAAGGGAGGGGGGAAAGTCACCCCAAAGCCTCCCCGGCTTTCTCCCCCCCCCCCATTTCTCTGAGTTGGAAGCTGCTGGGCTGCCGTTCCAAAGGGGCAGTTTGGGAGGGGGGGGTTCTCGAACCTGCAAGACCCCAGCAGGCCGGGTCCCCAAAGACCCCTGGAGATGCTGGATGAAGAGAGACTGGGAGTCTTCCCCTCCCCCAAATGGAGGTTCCCTGGGGGCTTCAGCTGATGGCCTGGGAAAGGGGGAGGGAGGGAGGGAGGGAGGAGGGAAGGAAGGAAGTAAGGAAGGAAGGAAAGAAGGAAGAAAAATGAGAACGGGAAGGACGGAAGAAGGGAGGGAGGGAGGGAAAGAAAGAAAGAAGAAAGATGAGAAAGAAAAGGAAAAGAAATGGAAGGAAAGGAAGGAAGGAAGGAAGGAAGGAAGGAAGGAAGGAAGGAAGGAAGGAAGGAAGGAAGGAAGGAAGGAAGGAAGGAAGGAAGGAAAAAGGGAGGGAGAGTGGGAGGAAAAAAGGAAGAAAGATGAGAAAGGAAACGGAAGGAAGGAGGGAGGGAGGGAAGGAAGGAAAGAAGGAAGATGAGGACGGGAGGGAGGAATATGAGAAAGGAAGAAGGAAGAGAGGGAAGGGAGGAAGGAAGGAAAGAAGGAAAAAGGGAGGGAGAAAGGAAGGAAGGAAAGAAGGAAGTTGAGAGGAAAGGAAGGGAGGGAGGAAGGAAAGGACGAAGGGAGGAAGGAAAGGAAGGAAGGAAGGAAGGAAGGAAAGAAAGAAAAAATAGGAAGGGAGGAGGGAGGGAGGGTGGAAGGAAGGAAGGAAGGAGCAAGAGGGAGGGCGAACCCCCCCAGACCCCAACCCTCTTGCAACTCACAGAGTTGGGGGGCTTCTGCTCCCTCAGGCCCCCTGCTTACCTGGTGTGGTCCAGCGATGCCACGTCATTCAAATCGAAGACGATAATGATGGCTGCAAACAGAGTTTGGGGGGGGGACACAGAACAGGAGGCTCAGGGCCCTGAGGGGAGGGGGCCCCCATCCAGACCCTGCCCCTTTTTTCCTCCTGCATCTTGTCTTCTGCAAATCCCAGGAGAGGCAGAAAAAGGCTGGTGCATATCAAACAACCCCCCCCCCCAGTGTTGGGGGGAGTCAGAATAGGTGCCCCCCCCCAGGGAATTAGCCTCCCCCCTCTACACCCTGGCAAGGGGCTCCAATCTCCCCCCACCCCAACCAGGAAGGACAGTTGATCCAGGGAGGCCCAAGACCTATCCTACAGAGACCCCCTCCCCAGGAGACCCCCCCCTTCAAGACCCAAGGGCAATGGCAGTCCGGCGGGCTCTCCTGGGGCGGTGGGCTTCACGCCTCCCCTGTGCCAAGCGAGACGGTTCTTAAGTGAGCTTCGCCCTGTTTTACGACCGTCCTTGCCGGAGTTGTTCAGCGAATCGCAGCAGTCGTTAAGTTAGTGGCACGGTTGTTAAGTGAAACAGGCTTCCCCCCCCCCCGGACCTGGCTGGTCAGAAGGTCGTGAGAGGGGATCACGGGGAACCCCCGCCCCCCCCCGGCGACCATCATAGATAGGACTCAGTTGCCAAGTGCCCTAATTTTGATCATGTGACCAGGTCGTTAAGCGTGAAAAGGGGCTGTACGTCACTTTTTCCGCCGCCCTAGTGACTTTGAACAATCCCTAAATGAAGGGTTGTCAGTCCAGGATCACCTATGATTGATTTAAAAGGTTTAGATTGTGGCTTTAAAGCAGGGGTGTCCAAGCTCGGCCCCTTTAAGACTGGTGGACTTCAACTCCTGAAGTCCACCAGTCTTAAAGGGGCCGAGCTTGGACAGCCTGGCTTTAAACCATCTTGGGAACCAGAGAAAAGACAAGAAGCCGTGCCCAGGCTGGGCTGGGAGGCAGACCCCCCTCCCCAAAGTCCCCCCCTCTGCCCCCTCACCTTGTGCTCCCCGATAGTAAGTGGAGGCGATGCACTTGAAGCGTTCCTGGCCAGCCGTGTCCCACCTGGCAGGGAGCAAGCAGAGCCAGTCGGGCGATGGCGAAAACAGGGAGGGGGGTCCGCAGGGGAGGAGGGGTGGGGCTGGAGGGGGCCCGAGGCCAGGTGGGGTACTCACAGCTGGAGGCTGAAGGGGACCCCCAGAACCTCGAACCGTTCCATCTCAAAGTCCACCCCGATGGTGGCCTTGTAATTCTTGTCAAAGGTGTCTTTGCAAAACCTGGAGGCGGGGAAAAGAGCAGGCTGCAGCTAGAAGGGCCCCCCCGAGGCCATCTAGTCCAACCCCCTGCTCAGGGCAGATGATAATACCATGTCTGGTTGTGTGGCCCGCTTGTGCCTGTGCAACAGCTCCTGGGGGAATCCTCAAGGGCAGGGGTCTCCAAATTTGGCCACTCTAGGCTTCCTAGACTTCAACTCCCAGGATTCCTCATGCTG